GCTGAGGAGGGCGCACGCAGAGGTGCCCCAACTTCCACCACCAAGGGCACCTGGGGGGCGCTCTGGGGCAGAAGCTCTAGTGACTCTAATGACTGACTGTTTTTGCATAGCCAGGAGCCTAAGAGAGCTCTTGCCACTTCGGGAAGATTGTGAAGAGGCAGAGGGGGGATACACATGAGGGCAGCTAGGCCAGCTTCCCGACTCTGGGAGTGACTGTCCGGCTCTTCACAGAGAAAGTCTGCCGACCCCTGTCCTGAGCGACGGTCTTCCTCAGCGAGGGACCATTTTGTTCTCTACCCCAGTCTGCTTGCCAATGTCTCGGATTCGTTTAGGTGTCTCAGCGGGGGGGCGCGAGGGATGCTACTAGTATTTGGAGGGTACAGACCACGGACGCTGCCCAAAGTCCTAGGATGCCCAGGACAGTCACCACAAAGAACAGCCGGCCCGACACCGGACGGCCCTGTCTGCGAGAGCCGGCCCTCGGCCCCGGGCTGCCCACACCTCCTCTCCAGCAGCCGGACACAGGCACCCGCTCGGCTTCCTGGCTTGCCCCCTCCCGACTTCCAGGGCATTTTGAGTGTCTGAGGGAGGGGCCCTCGGGGGGCAGGGCTATTTTTAGTCTCAGCGTCTATTTACTGAAATTTTTATCTTCCCCCAGTTTTGGAGTTCGGGGTGGGAAAGCAGAGAGCTTCTGCTCCACTGCTTCGCCAGGGCCCACGCAGACTGAAACAAGCATGAGGGTCTCGCCCCACAAGCGAGGCTGAGACAGTGCCCCAGGAGGAGGGGCTGCTCAGGCCCTGACCCTGGGTTTCCCATCCCCTGCATGAGCAGAGGGTGCCTCCAGTCTCCCACCCCAAGCTCTAAACCCCACAGAGCACACACAGCTATGCACACACAGCAGCTCACACACAGCTCCTGGGCAGGTGGCCCATACAGGTACCCATACCCACAGGGCACCCACGAGGCCACCTCAGGGAGAGTACTCACAGGTGGGCACAGCAGACAGGTGCAGAGCTGGCCTGGTCAGACCCCCAGTGACAGTTCTCAATCCCCCCAGAGGGGCAGGGTAGACGGGGAGTCCTTGCCATGCACAGCCAGAGGACTCACCTGGGAGTCTCCAGTACTTCGACAGACCCCCTCCCACACACTCAGGGAAGACTGCTTGAACACCTACTGTGGGCCAGGTATGAGTCTAGGCATCTTGGATCCAAAAGCAAACCAAGTAACAAACTCCCTGAGCACTTGGACTCTGACAGGGGAGACAAATGATAAATAAACAGCCACAATAAATCAAGAAATTACAGTGTGAGAAAAGCCATCCGTGCTAGGAAAAGTCAGGAGGTAAGTGGGAGGCTGCATGGGGTAAAGGTTACTGGGGGGCGGGGTGACATCTGAATTGGGTGAAGGAGCAAAAGCCTTACAGATGTCTGGGTGAGAGTCCCAGATGGAAGAACAGGCAGTGCAAAGGCCCCGGGGTAGAATCGTGCTTAGAATGTTGGTGAAGCCACAAGGAAAGCAGGAGTGAAGGGATGAAGTGATGGGGAGGATCATGCAGGACCAAACCCCAACATGCCCCATGGCCTGATCTGCGCTGGCGCCTGGACAGATGGGCTGCTACCTTCCAACTCGGGCCGCCCTCCCACCTGCAGTTGGGACCCTGGCCACTCCAGAAAGGAGACATAAGCTTTCTCCCTGGATCCTGTGACACAAGCTTCATGACTGAAATTGCTATGTGTGGCCAGACTATGAGTTCCAAGAGGACAGGACCAAGGCACTGTCCCTACAGCACCGTCAAGCACAGCACCTGTAGAGAAGGCATGTGCTCACAGACTACATGAAGAGGTGCACGGGCCTTGGCCCAAGAAGCCCCATGTATGCACCCCTGGGCACACGGCTGCAGGTGCACATAAGATGCAGACCCCGCTCCCGTCCAGAGCTTCAGACACACATGGGGCCACCAACTCCATCAAACTCATGGCACCAGCTCCGAAGAGACCCCTAACAACATGGGGCTAGCCCGATGACACAGGGTCACACACAGGCTTCACCAGGTCCCCATCCCAATCACACACAGACATCTGACAGAGGACTGGCTTCCGAGGGTTGGGAGAAACCCCCCCCCCCCCCTGGCTCTGTTCAGCAGCAGCCTCCCATCCTGGGACCCTGCTTTCCTCTTTCTCGGGGGTGGCCAAGACCCAGCCCAGGCACCTCCTCCAAGGTCACTGCAGCCAGGTCCGGTTCCAGACCCAGGGAACCCCTCCCACCTCCCAAAGAGGGGTCTGGAAGAGGGGAAGTGTCTGGCGTCTGGAAATCGGATCCTCGAGAGGAGCCCACACAGAAACCAGAGACTTGTCCTTGGCCACACAGATGGCTGGAGAAGTAGCAGGGAGCAGACACCTGGAGCTCCAGCTCCCCACACGGGCCCAGGGCCGGACGGAGTGGGGGGGGTGGTGGACTGCAGGGATCTCGCTCCTCCTCTTTCCCATCAGGGGTACCCATTCTAGCAGAGCAGCACAACCTCCTGGGATCAGCAACCCTCCACCAGATGCCCATGCTGGGGCTGAAGCACCTCATGCTCACCCACCAGCTGGGGGGTTGGGGAGGGACCATAGGGATGCTGCAAACTCCAGACGCAGGTGGCTCTCACAGGTGGAGGTACCAGGGGTCCGGAGTCCAGACCGCTTGATGCAGACTCCAGAGCAGCCAGGTAGCCCACCAGCCCCTCCCCCACATATCTGGAGGGTTCTCCTAGGTCCCCCAGGAGAAGGGACTCCCCAGGGCACACTGGGAATAGAAACAGGACTTCATGAGTCTCTCTTCCACCTCCTCCCTACAGGCACCAGGGCCCAGGTAGGCTGGCTCCCCAGCTCCCCACTCCCTAACCCTGGGGAGCCTCAGAGTCCAAGATCAGGCATTAGCAGCTCCCCAGGAGTGGAGGCTGGGATGGGTGCCCTGCGGAGGGATGGCCTAGTGGGGCATTAGAGGACAGAAGCAACAAACATGGAGCAGGCTAAGGCCCTGTGGGAGGTCACTGGGGAGAGGAGGAAGGTGGCCATACCAGCGGCAGGGCTGGCACTCACATGTGAGCGCACACGTATGTGGCTCAGTGCATGGGTGCCACTGCCACCAGCCAGGGATCGAATTAGTTCCCTTTTCCATTTTCCAGATGATTTTTCATCTCTGTAATTAATGGGCAAGTCAGTTCTGAACAGCATGGCAGGCAAATTGCTAGTTAGGAAAATCACGGATAATTTTCTCGATATGATAATGAAGGTTGTATTCCTTCTCTTATTCTCCCTGTTTTCATCCTACTTTTAAGTAATAAATTTGGCATTAGTGGGTGGGGAGAGGGGAGGAAGGAGAAGTCACCTGCCCCCACAGCTGGGGCCTGACCCAGGCCCACCCGGAGTCCTGAGCCCCCGGCCATGGGGCAGACGGAGAGGATGAGAGATGGGATCCTCTATGGAGCACCCCAACACCCCAAGTGATCAATTCAGGGTGTCAGGGCCTAGAAGAGCCAGTTGGAGGGCAGGGAGCCCCCAAGCTGTTAGCTGGGCTGAAGGACAAGCTCTTGCCAGCCCCTGGGGTGCTGGAAAGAAGAGCAAAGACCAACAGCCTCTCTCCAAGAAGCAAGCAGCATCGAGGTCAACAGGCCTAGAGCAGACGTCACCCTTAATGTCCCCCACACCTGTCCCCACACTGTCCAAACCCTTCTCTGTGATGACTCTTGTAGCAGCTAAAGGAACAGAGCAAACAGAAAAGGGAGAGAGAGAAAGAAAAACAGAGAAAGGCGGAGAGGCGACCAGCCATCTTGGCAGCCATTTTGAACCCCTCCCCCTGCTCCCCCAGGCACACCACATGTTTGGATGTGGGCAGACAAACCCAGACTCTGGGTCCTGTAGAAGCCAAGAAGAAAGGGGGCCCTGCCACAAGACTGGGATGGCGGGACATCCCCGCGGCTGCCAAGGCTGGGGAGGGTCGAGGGGGGCGGTGGTCATGGCCCAGGAACTAAGATTGAGGTGCTGGACAAGGACTGGGCTGGGTGCTGACCTAGCCTGGATGGGCAGGGACTGGGCTGTGCGTTGGGGGGCTGTGCAAGCAGGGTGCTGTCTTCACATGGGTGCCAGGGGTGCACTGGGCCAACGCCTGCGGGGGCATTTTCTGGCCAAGTCTGGAGCACCCACAGCACTCTCCATCCTCTCCTGGTCCGGACTTCTGTCCCGGGACCCTCAGAGGCGAGGATGACAGTCGAAACCCCATAGCTCTACCCAATGAACACCTGGGGGAGAGGAAGGGCTGTCCCCCTCAAAGCCCGGATCCAGGTGGATCAAACCCAACAGCTACCCATGCTTAACCAGGTACCACGGAGAAAGAGAAAAGATGCCGCCGCACACCTCCTGACAGCGAAGGCCCCCGGGCTGCAGCCGGTCGGACACCCAAACAGACCCCTCCCCATCCACCGCGTCTCTGCCTCCGGGAGAAAAACAATCCCCGGCCCAGCATCCTGCGGTGCCAGCCCCCGACGCAGCTCCTCCGGGGGCCGGGACCCGCGCGCGGCGCGCACACGCACCCTCTCCGCTCACACCCAGACACCTACACAAACAGGGCGCCAAGCACCCGCGCGCACACGCACCGGGGACACGCAGGCACCGCCGCGCCACTTCCCCACAAAGGCTGGCGCGCGCGCGGGCACACGCAGCCACGCGCGGGCACACTCGCGGTCCCCTCCCCCCGCCGGCACCCCGCGGCCGTCCATCCGCACCCCCGCGTCCCCGGCGCTCCGTGGGGGCCGTCCCTTTTGACCCCCAAGCGGGTGGGTATGAAGTGCAGGCCGCCCCTGACTCCCCTCCAGCTCAGGTGCGGGGAGTCCGCGGCTCCGATATCCCCTCCCCCTACGCGGCCCGGACAGGCCTGGGCTCCGGTCCTCCCCCCAGCCGCCTCGGCCCGCACACCTGGCCCAGGTGCTGCGTCCCCCTCACCCTGGGCCCGCAGACACTCACCTGTCCAGCGCCGCTCTGGGGTCGGCCCTGCGCGTGTCTCCTGCGGCTCCGCGAACCCCGGCCCCCCGCCCGGCACATCTCCCGGAACCGGGGCGGGGGGGAAAAGGGTGAGGGGTGGCGGGGCAAGGGCGGCCTCCGTGTCACCTCCTTCCCCCAGCCCAGCACCGCCGCCACTAGCCAAAAATTAAAAAAAAAAAATTAATAAAAAAGCGGATTACACAGCTCCAGAGGCGGCCCCCTCGCGGGAGCGGAGGCTCGGGGTTGGGGGCGAACGGGTCCGCGCCCCTCCCGGGGAGGGAGGCGGCGGCGGCGGAGGCGGCGGGGCGGGGGCGGCGTCAGAACTCTGGGGGCTGGGGCGAGGCGGAGCCCCCCGAGGCGGCGCCGACAGCGGCCCGCATCTCCCCCGCAGCTCCGCGGCCCCGACGGAGGCGGCACGTGTGCGCCCAGGCGACTTCCCAGCCCCCTCCGACGGCGGCGGCGGCGGCCGAGGGGTTAACGGGCCAGCCGGGGCGCCCCTGCAGCCCCCCGCCGCCCGGCGGCGCCGCTCCGGGGCCCGCACGGCCCCATCCGCCGGGGCCTCCTCGGCAGACGGCGGGGCCGAGGCGCCGCAGCGCCAACAGCTCCCGCGCGGACGGCTCCGGCTCCCCGCAGTGGCCGCGGGGGGCTCGGGTTGGGGGCGGGCGGCGCGGAGCTTGGGCGGGGGGCGCGGCTGGAGGCGGGCGCGGCAGCGTTGCGCCCCCGGGGCGGCCGGAGGGGGGGGGCGCCGGGCCGGGCCCGTGGGCACCGCAGGACGCGCGGACCGAGCCGGCGCCGGGCACCAGCAATGACAAGCCGCCTGCTCGCCCCTCTCCCCGACGCACCCGCTCCGGGAGGGGGGCGGCGGGCACGCGCAAAACCCGGCCCGGAGCCGCCGCCGAAGATTGGCCGCCGCAACCAACCGGAGCGCACCGGGGGCCGACCCAAAAACCCGGACTGGATTTTTCTTCCCTCAGCCTCCTCTAACCCCTCTGGAAAAGCCAAGAGAGGGAAGGCGACGTGCTGGGTCGCTGCGTCGGAACTGGGAGTGGGGGAAGGGAGACGGGCGCAAGGAAGACCCGGAGAGGATTTCTCCAGCAGTTAAGTAAAGGAAAGGCGCCGATCCGGGCGAAGGGAGAAATGGAGGAGCTCTGGAAGAGGTATGCAAAACCCGGATTGGATTAGACAAAGATGGGAGGAAGGGGGGGCGGCGGGTAGCTGCGACAGGGCCAAATGCACCCGGGGCACGCAAATTTGGGGCCGGATTCATCCTCGGGAGACGGAGTAATGCGTCATGCCTAATGCAGTGGGAGTAAGCAAGACCTGGCCTAGAATTCTCAGACCTGGGCTCGCAGGGGGCTTCTGGAAGGGGCTGCTTAGTGGCTGAGGAGGCAGGGGCTGCCCCAATCTTTCTGGCAGAGACGTGCAAGGGGGAGGGGCAAAAGGAGGGCTGGACTCCAGCACGAAGGGATCCGGAGCGCTGGCTGCAACGATGCAGGCGATGCAGGCCGGTAAGAACAGCTTCAGGATCCAGGGGCGATGCGAAGGGAATGCGTTGAGGAGGCTGCTACCCTGGGAGACCAGACCTACAATAAAAGACGGGGGAGGAACGCAAAGCCTGGACTGGAATCCGCGGGACAGGACAAGACCCCGGGAGAAAGTCCTGGGCAACCGGACACGGGCTTGGAGCGGACGGGGCAGCAGGAGCGGGGAGGGCAGTGTTAGGTGGAGGTTGTATCTATAAACGCCTCAAAAGTCTCGCTTTGGGAGGGGAGATGGACCGGGGTGGGGGGCGGGGGAGGGCGGAGAGGAAAAAAAATTGAATTTTAGGTTCTTGGCAAGATCCAAAACCTGGTACGGAACATCACAGCCCAGCAACTACACTGCAGCTGGTAGACTTGAAGAAGTAGGGCAAGGAACCAGAGGGTTCCTAGGCATCTGGCTGAGTGAGGTGAGGGGCAGGTTTCAGGCTGAAGCTGCAGAGGGAGCCCCGCACCTCCTCTCCAGGGTGGGGAAGTGTGTCCAACCTGGCTTGGATCCCCAGAACTAGACTGTCACTGCCAAGACCCACAGTGGGGGCTATAAAACCGGGCCCCAGGCCAAAAATAAGCACTTCAGCTGAATAGATAACTCAGTGCCAGGTGGGGGCTGGGGGGAAACTGGAAGGGTGAGGACTGCTGGAGGGTCCTTTGAGGTAAGATCTGGTTAGGATCTCTCAGGAGATGGGACCTGGAAGCCTGGCAGCAGGCTCAGTTTTATGAAAGATGGGTGCAACTCTAAGACTGTTGGATGAGGAGGAGCAAATCCCTGGCTTGGATCCTCAGGGAAGGGAGTCCATCCAAGCGGGGCCTAAATAGTAAAGCAGCCAGGGCAAGCAAAGTCCAAAGTCCTGGCTGAATCTTGATGGGTCCAGAGTGGGCATATGCACAGTGAGGTGTGGTGGAGAAGTAGGGCAGACAAATCTGGAACTAGATTATAGAGGAAGGGAAAGGGCTGAGGAAGGGGAGGAAGGTAAACCCCTGTTTCTGTCTCCTGGAAAGAGAATGCATTGCCACCCAAGCTTGGCTCTGTAGAACGGGTAATGAATAGGGTGGAAGTAGCAGTGGGAGGGTTTGGGGTGGTAAATACACAAAACTTGGGCAGACTTGAGTGGGAACGCGGAGTATCAAAGGAAGCCTAAATTGAACATCCGCAAGCAAATTGACTTGGCCTTTAAGAATCCCTTCCAAGAAGCACATCCTGGTGGCTGAACATAGGGAAAAATGGAGACACCAGACTTCCAGGCCTGCTGGGTGACCAGGGGCAACCTCCATGGCAACCAACTGCCCTCCACCCCCTTTTATGGAGAGCCTTCATTTCAGGACTAGGGAGGGATTTTCATAGCCCAGAACCTCGGGGCAACTCAGGCCCCAAAACTTCCCAGGGGGGGAGAGGGTGGGTGGACCACCTTTGGTTCCCTTTCATGCCCAGGACTCTACAGCTGTAGAGCTCAAGCCTTGAATTTGGGTGGTGCAGCCCAACAACTGGATCTAAGAGAACAAATGTGAAGGAAGCAGAGGTTGGTGGATGCGGAAAGGAGTCCATCTACCTGTGGTTCCTTAACTGCTGGTGTGTTGGGTGTGGGGATGGGGGAGAGTGTCTTAATTGTCCACACCCCAGTTTCCCACTTTGAGATATATCCATAGCACTTGACAGGACCCATGGAAGGTTTTGGTTGGGGGGGGGGGGCGGGGGAGGCCTGTGTTCTATAAACCCAGCAGGATCGGAAGGGGAAAGAACGTGTAGCTCAGAGAAAGCTGGACATCTCCAGAGCCCTCTGGCTCCGAGCCGCCTCCCCGCCCCTCCTCCCCCTCCCTGAGCAGCCCACCCGCCTCCTCCGGCAGAGCAACCCTAGGAATTGATGAGCCTGCCTAGGCGGTGAGGTGGTTCTAACTTGCGTTCTCCAGGGACTGCGAGAAGGGGTGGCTTTTACTTGTATAAAACGAAGGGGTGGCATGCTTTAAGGGACTCCCGGCTCAGTTTGAAAAAATCCCGGCCAGGAACCCCTCCCAACCCCTCCTCTTTTTCCTACTGCTCTCGCTCTCAGCCGGGGTCGCTTAGCCAGCCGCCATTCCATCCCGATCTTATGGCCTCGAGGGCGAGGGGCTCAGGAGGCAAAGGATGCGGAGAGGATGGGGGCGTGAAAGAGACCTGACAGCCCCCCAGCCCCCAGCCCTCGGCTGCGCAGCCGCAGTGGAGGCGGCGAGAGTTGCCTGGCTCCGGAAACCAACGCGTCGGCCAGAGCGCGCAGTCCTGCCCCGTTGCCGTGTGCCCTGCACGGTACAGCTCGGTACCGGTGCACAGGACGTCCACTCTCTACTCCCGGGGTGACTCTTGCTTCCGGCACCCTGCGGTGCGCCGCGGGTTCTCCCATGCCCAGCGTGACCCGCGCCTTGGGTACCCCACGTCCTGTGCACCCAATACCAGAAAACCCCCACACCCAGGGTGTCCCGCGCTGAGGGCAACTCACGTTCTGATCCTCCCATCTGGGGGACCCTGCATGTTGCCCACCTTAGCACCTCGGGGCACCCGGGCTTCAGACTTGGCTAGGACCATAGATGGGGATGAAACGTGTTCCTGGACTCAGGAGGAACTGAGCAATGCCCCAACCTCCACCGCTGGCCAGATGCGCTCAGCTGAGCTTTTCCTAGAGCCTACTTGGCACAGCACAGCACTAGATGCATAATCCCGCATGTCATTTTACTATTCGGTTCATACATTCGCTCCTTCTATTTATTCCTCGGATACAGAGCGCCCCTTACATGCTCTTAGTGCAGGCATGGGGCTAGGCATCAAGGAAGCCCTAATGCCCCAAGAGCAAGCCTGGAAGCCCTCTCAGGGGCATTCTGGTTCTAGTGGGTAAGGCGGAAACAGGAGGCATGTTGAAATTACCCGTGGAAAGTGAGCAGGGTGCTAGGAAAGTGGATGGCAGATGTGTCCAAGCCTTAAGGGGTGAGCAGGTGAGGCTCTGTGTGCCCCTGGCCCTCAGAGGTTCCCTGTACCACACCTGGGGCACTGTTTGAACCCCATCCCATCCCATCCTATGCCCTCACTCAAGTAAGTGAAAAGCAAGGTGAAAAGGTCTCAGAATTGGGCCAGGAGGATAAAGTGTGGGTGGAGATTAACATCAGCTGCTGTCTTTGGGAGCGGGAGGGTTCAGCTAATTAGCAAATGTCTACGGAGCACCTACTGTGTGCCAGACACTGTACCAGTTGCTGCAGACACAGTGGTGAACAAGGCAGAAGATTCTCTGTTCTAGGGCTGACATTCTAAGAATGACAGATGAGAAGTCAGACAAGCAAAAGATACAGGATGTCAGATGATAAGTGCTATGAAGAAGACTAAAGACAGAAAACAGAGGGCATGCCGGTGACTGCAATTTTAGATAGGAAAAGTCAAGGAAGCCTTCTCAAAGAAGCTGGGATTTGGAACAAACACTGAAAGAAATGAGGGAGGAGTCATGGGGAAGGGGTAGGTTGTTCCAGGCAGGGGGAACAGCCTGTGCAAAGGTCCTGAGGCAGAAGCACGCTGAGTGGGCAAAAGATCCACGACTCGGCCTATGCGGCTGGAGGGAGGGAGTGAGGGGGAAAGGAGATGAGGTGGGGAGGT